CCCCCCTTTATTTTCCCCCCATGGTCTCTTCTGGGCCTCTTGCTAACCTCGATTAGTTGAGGATGCCAGGCCAATGGCAGGCAAGTACCTGTCCAAGTATCGGCCTGGATTCGTGGAAGCGGCCGAGGCCAAGGCGAACAGAGACAGCACTGGTCTAGAATCATCAGGAACAGCCATTGCGACATGAGGAGAGCTTTGGAGGATGTTCGCCATTGTAATTTTGGTCGTACATTGTGGATTTCCCGGTCTTCTTCCCAGGAAGTGGGAATTGTTCTCGGGGGAGAGCGCGCACAGACGACGTTGTAGATGATTTTGCGGTATCATACGAGGCATTTCACAGGCGTTCACTCGGGAATGAGAGAGGTATCTTGGGATTCTGGACGTTATTCCCATCAATGATGAGTTTGACACTCGACAGTTTTGTACACGGAGACGGGTTGATAAAGGCAATAGAGGCAGGCACAAGGGGCCAATAGAGAATATGAGAGGGAATGAGGGGGCATCAGACACGGGGTTGAGACTCAAGAAAGCGTCTGTATATTCATTCACGGGGCTTGGTACGATTCAGATAAGTAGTTGAGATGCAGTACATTTTACTAAGCTCTGCCAGATCGCGTGATGGTGGAGATGGCCAAAACTGAGACGCAGACATGGACGTGGTTGCCCTGACATAGGCATTGGAATGACTTTGGTCAAAGCATTGATCGGATCGGAATTGGCTTTGCGCCACCCACAGCGCCCACCGCAAGCTAGTGGCAGCCTGTTGTCCCGGCCCCGCCCAGGACCGGGCTGGGTGTCCTGCATTATGCATGCAGAGCCCCTGGCAATAATAATAATACGTATGTAATAATAGTACTCCGTTTTTGTTGTTTGGATGAATGGAGAGACAAAGAGCCCAGACAGAGAGGGCTGTCTGTGGTGCTGCTGGCCGCGTCAGAACTGACAAATGACAGCCGACGAGACTCTCGGCGGGAGCATTGGTGTGCTTGCGGATGAATTATGGTTTCAATGTTTTCTTTTCCTCCCGGGAATAGGCCGACCGGATGGGCTTTCGTCGGAATTTTGGCGATGGTTCGTTGCAGAAGCCTGAACTGGCCGCCGATGGAACGTGTTTTTTTTGACTCCATAACCTTTTCATTACAGTACAAGAGTGACTGCCGCAGGACTCTCTGCTCTGCACCCGCGCTTACTGCCATCGTCCGGGGTGCTGCTTGCATTCGACAGCTCCGCCCCTTTGACGGCCTCACAACACCCTCCTCCAGAGTCGAGCCCGTTCCAACGCCCTGGCCTGTCCGTAACTCCAAAGTAAAGAGTATACATACAGTGGGAGGTAAAAGTATTTAACCAGGCCGAGAAACTAGCTATGGATATCTATACCAAGATGTATTAGGATATATGTGCTGTAGTATGTTAGTGTATGCTTCTGCCACCAGACAGACTGTCAAGATTACATCAGTGGGTGTATGCACCTACGATCAATTGATGGCGGCGCTGTGCCTGACAGCACCGCGACCACCCGCCGCTAACTCGCCTGTTCTCCTGACTCCACACACACATCCACCACCCACGGACCGTCTATCACTCGAGCCGGGGATCGTGCAACAAGACACGGCGACGTGTGCACTCATCTACTCTTCTGCGAAATGTTCATGAAGCGACTACAGAAGCGAGACTTTGCTATCCATCGAGACACTGCGCACGGTACGATTGATTGCCCCTTCCCTTTGTACCGTACATTTGCTCGCAAGGACCCTGATATCCGTGGTGCCCGGCCTGGCCTCCTCGAGAGTGCTCTGCTTGTCTCGGCTTGTCACCCTCACATCAGTCAGCCTCAGTCTTACCTCCTCGCAAAGGGGACAACGCTTTGAGCACAGTCCGCCTTGCTTTCCCTTTCATTCACGCCCGCCGTCTTTTCAAAAGGCCAAACCGACCTTTCTTCTAATACATACGTGTTTTCTCGCAGCTCCGAAACCTGCACATGGCCAAGCACAACTAGATGCTTCAGCAAAGACCCTTGCGCCAGCGTCGACCGGCACGGTAAACAGTATGACGACCCCGCGTCCGGCAAACAACGCTGCGAAACACGCTCTTGCGAGGTCGGCCACTATTCGCAGTGTTCCCAGTCTCGACGGCTCCGAGTCCAGTCCCGACAGCAGACGCAGTGCCCTTTCCAGTAACGTCAGTTCCGCCACCGGTACCGCCTCAATCATGCCGGGCACAGATGCCGAACAAGACAAGACACCTTCGACGACCAGGTTAAAGCAGGACAGTGGAGCTGAGACGACGCCTTCAAGGTGGCACGGCAATGGCGTGCGAGCGGTTGAGCCGTGCCTCGTACATGACCCATCGATGCTGCCGGAAGAAATGGACAATGGACAATGGGATTCAACAATTGGAAAAGCTGGCCTAGGAAAGACGGGACGCGTCATCAATAAGCTTGTTAGCGACAATGACGCCCTAAAGCGAGACATCAAAATTGAGCGGTTGCGCGCAGAGGAGGCCAAGCAGGCTGCTAAATTGCTAGAAGACAAAATGGAGCGAATCATGAGCGAGTACGAGGGTCGCTTGCTGGAAGCAAATGTAACAAAAACGCTGTTGGCTCGGAAAGAACGTCAGGTAGAGTCGCTTACGGGTGCGGTGGAACTCGAGAAGAGGAAAACACAGGCAGCAGTGGCGAGCGAAAGAAGCTGGAAAGACGAACTAGAAAGGGTCAAGAACGAGTCAAAGGTCCGCGTAGAAGAGGCAACAAGCTATGCGCAGTTGATGGAAGGCCGATATAACGCCATCTCCTCTCACTGGCGAGACCAAGGCGAGGAAGTCAAACGTGCTGTGTCTAAAATGAGGGGGGAAATCACAACCATTGTCGACGAACGGAGGTCTGACGATGAGAAGATCACCACACTGAGGGACTTGTGTGAACAACAAGACAACAATATTAAAGAGCTAAGGCGGGAAAAGGAAGAGATCGCTCGTCTATTTGAGGAGTATAAGAGGACTCAAGAAGAGGACCTGAAAGACATCAAGACCAACGCGAAGAAGAGACAAACCGAACAGGAGAAGCAGCTGGATGAGGCGAGAGAAGCCCTTCATAAGCTGAAGTGGGCCTTGAACGTCAAAGAGAACGTCAGAGGCGCGCAATGAGGGAACAACATGGTTCCCCTACAACAGTTTCCCAACGAGCTGTTGCTAACTACCTACCAACACGCTCAGCCGCTACGCTACTTTCCGATTCCGTCATCAGACTTCTGCTATAGCTTCGGGGACATTGCAGCTTCACAGCGTCAATTTCAACCATGGAACACTTGCTTTTTACACCTGTTATTGCATTTACGTCACCACCAGTATAGACGAACACGTCAACAACGATAGGTTGGCCACCACGGAATAGGATACGATGTCTCCCGCAGTCTCGGTCCCCGTTCAATCCATAAAGAGGGGGGATTATGATGAGGCGCTTGGCGGCGTTTTTGGTCTCTTTCTTGGCTTTTTCTCATTCAGACCAATCTAGTATCCTCGCACATGTTAAACCTGCTGCATATTATTATTATTTTGCGTCGTACTTGGTGGACTTGGGTCATCTGAGTCTTGGCTTTTTGACATCAATTTTTCTTTCAGGCCCGGTGCTTTGGAAGAGAGAAGGGAGTACACTATACAGAAGGATGAGTAGGCGGCAGGAAGCATGCATTGATGATACAACAAACATGGGATGGCATGGATACGTCTTTTTTCTTCACTTTTCTGAACTATACTTGGTAACACGCCAGATACCCCCTAGTTGATTATCAATAAATTGTGTGTGCTTGTTTCGGTGATACTTACAATCTAGAAGTTTCCGAATCCGACTTGGTGCGAGCGTGCCTGCAGTCAGTGCATGTGGGTGTCGTCGGGCAGGTGCAGCCAGCTGGCACTGTCATACATAATACTCGCGTGCTTTTCTCGCCCCTTGTTTTCTCCCTCTTCCTCTTCCTCCTCTTCTTCTTCATATTTCTGCAGTCTGTGGCGAGAGGACATACCTCTGGCGCGACATTTCGTTCCCTTCAGCAGGTGAGTTTCCTGTGTTGCATTAGCAATATGCCTATGCTGACTCTTTGCATATATATGCCACAAGTGAAACCTGGATGGGTTACTACGACTCTGCTTTTTGTTTTGCATCCGGCTTTACTTTCTCTCATCACTTCTTCCAAAGTTCTGGCCACTTTTCCTCACCTCTTCAGCACTGTACTACCTACTTGAGCACCAAGGTATTCAACGGACCGACGAACCTTGTTGCTTTCTTGTTCCATCTGCTAACTTTAGCCATGAAAAACCCAGTCTTGGTGACTTGGATGTATGTATATCACTAGGAAATGGAAATATGTCAACTGATTCTAATGATTTACTAGTTATGACTTTCAGTCATTGTCGCAATTCTACCTGCAAGCCTTCAGAGCAACTCAGCTCGCCTTTGTTGGTAAGATGTGCAATGTGCTACCTCGTGGATTGAATGAGCCACGATCGAGGTCTCTCAGGGCCATATTGCTCTTCCACAGTGCACGTCCGACCTTGTTGCTTCGATTTTTGCTAAGACAATGGTAGACGAACAGATCCCAAGCGGCCTCCGTGCTGGAGTGCCGCCTTTCGGTTCACCAGCCAATCGTGTCAAATCGAAACCATGGATTCTTGTCCGTGGATCGAATTTTATATTGCTTCAAATCCACCATTGAGGCCGAGTGGCGTCAAACAGGTCATGACTTGGGTGGAAGAATGGAACGGAGAGGCAAGTTTTCTTAGACTTTAAGGATAAACCCTCTTTGCATGCAAAAACTAATCAGGAGCAGAATCAGCGTATTTTAGAAATCCTCTATGAGCCCCAGGTTCCATGGTTCAAGGTTATGACGCATAATCTTTGGCAAGCCGAAGTTACAGACATGATTAAAGGATGTTTGTCGAAATTTATCGATGAATGTCGTGTAGCCGACAGAGCATTGGGGTACGCAACCAGTGAGCTACGACTTGACATTATGTCCTCTCCACATGCTATGCCCTGGGCCGCGCTTTTGACCTCACAAGAAGACTATGGGCGAGCCTTGGATAACTATAGATACCCAGCGGCTATGCAAGCGTTATCGTATAAGCAGACATGGACCGGGCTAGTGATGGAGAAAGGGTATACGTTTGAAAGACTGACAAAACTACCTGATGGATGGCATCATCTAGGCTTTCCTGATTCCTTCGAAGGCCTTGGGCCGCTGCTGGACTGCGACATGTCTCATAATTTAGGAGGGACAATGCTATATCTCGGTAGCAACGCAGGCGAACATGCGATAACCAAAGCAGTCGCCATTCTAGATAACCTCCTACAGTGTGCAGTAAGTCTATAGGATATTGAAGGCGGAGTTATATATATTACTAACTTCTTGATCTCTAGTTAACCATCTCTGACCACAAACATCATCTCATCTATAATGAGAGCGAGGGCAAAACAAAGTTTGTCTATAAGTACCTGTCTCAAATTGGTCTCCTGCAGACCACATACGCTACCAGCCAGGACATGAAAACTGAATACCGGTTGCTAAGATCGGCCGTGACTATCAGGACTGCTACGAAGAGGAAAGATGGCTGGAAATCTGATTCGACAAGTTATCCCTGTAAGGGAGGCATTGAACCGAAAAAAACCAAGTCATTTAGCGTATTTAATGGCTATAGGTATAAGAGCAAAGAAGCCAGTGCCATCTCAAACCTCTTCAAGAAAGCAGAAGTGCTCATCCTTCAAGATCAACAAGCGACACAGCAAGGTCCAAATGTAGATCTTTTGACTGCATGTGAAGGTGGTTCTTCGTCCCCAGGCATGGGCACAGCTTCTACAGATGGGATCTCTCATACCACGCTTCTAAAGACTACTATTACAAGCCGTTTTTCGCCTCGATTCCCCACCCGCCACGCATCTAATGACTCTCTCAAGTCAGAGAACCTCATTTGCTTTGACGAGGATATTAATATTGACTGCTCTCGGGGACAGCTGTCAAGCAAACAGCAACAAAGCCTCTTAGATGACTGTGCACCAATTGAGCTAATGGAACTTATACCCCTGTCCTCCACCAGCACAACACTACCGTTAGAGGTAATACAATTCCCAAGCCTTATTTCCCCGCAAGCTTGGACTAACCATTACATTCAGTCTACGCAGAATGACAATCAGTCTTTGCCAAGCTCTCATATGGCTAGCCCTCTTCCACCTGGAGACTGCAGTATGGAGAAAACAATCCATTCAAGCGGTCGTCCACGCGTGGACACAGAAATAGCCAGGTCTTTGGAAGAGCGCATTAAATCGTTAGCCTCCATGATGCAGTTTGCACCTGGTCACGCCACAGTCCGTCTTAAGTTTGGTCGATTTTACATAGTAAATTTTGCTGCCGAACAAGTTGATGTTACCAGTGACTTCAATGGCCCATTCAGTGGCCCATTTCGGAGAATGGCCAACCTTCTTGACGATTTGGAAGATGCAACACCATCTGGACACCTTCGGTTCTCTACAGTCCTATCCACAATTGGACCAGATGCCGACGCAATAGCCGGGACATCAACACCAATACCGATGTGGACAAAGCCAGTTATCGAGATTATACTCCGGGTTACGTGCAACTTCAAAGGGGAGACATTCTTTGTAGAAATCAATGCGGACACATTCGATTACACGTGTCAGGGGCCAGTCATAGAGCTGGGCTCCGTCCTGGTCCACTGCCCTCAACACCCATGGGACATTAAAGTGTGCGGAGATAGTTCCAAGAACTTGGACATGTCTGTACTTCATCGAGTTTTTGGCCAGATTATTGTGAACTCTCTCCACATTAAGTAAGTTGAAGCGAATAACAACTTTCAATGTGCGTGAGCGAGCTACTAACCTGTCTTTTTAGTCCAGTTCCGAATGGGATCACGGCCCTTGAGCTTACAGCCAATGAGAAACTGGGTCTTGTAATCGAAGGAGTCGCGATATGTCATGTGGCAAAATATTCAAGCACCAATACGATGGATAGCAATCTTTCTGTTGTAATGACACAGAAGCTGTCGCCAGGTGATACGCGGGACAATCGTCGGCAATGGAGTGTTTTTAAGCGCCAGGGCGACTACAACCCCAAAATGTGGTTCGAGGCGTACCTAACCTCATCAAGAATGGAGAAAATCATGCAAGAAAATTCCGGCTTGTCTATTGGTGGTAGATCATCGTGGAGTTCTGAAGATCTTTCATCCCAAGGTCTGTTCTTTAGCCTATATGGCCCGGCTCTGAAGATGATTGGAAGCCTAGATAAGATCGGGCATTACAATGACAACGGACAGTCAAATGACGGTGGGTTGACTTTCGGCAACTCCCTCGCAGAGGAGGATGCGCGAAAAGGTCCAGTACGGTTTTGGTGACCTGGTGAAGTAACATGAAAGTGTGCAGATATTGGCCGGACACAATGAGGATTGACATCAGCAGACAGTTGAATGAAGCTGTGCGGGGGGGGGCTTCCACTTTTGGCAGAGTCGTTAAAATAGTGCTAGTTATATAACATGCATCTGCAGATTGGTGTGGTATGATGGTTCAATTCACGTGTCTGTGCCATTGCATTCATACCTAGGTGCCTAGGTAATTGCATGTCCAGTAAGGTTGCTTCCGATGTTTTTGGGTGCTAGGAGTGGCATGCGTATCGAAATCGATGGGTCCGGAAGCTACCATGCTTAAGCGACGTTGCTAGCGCTTAATGCCATTGACGGCAGAAGCGGCCGGATCCAAACTTGCTCAAGGTGCACATAAGACATAAGATGGGACAAGAACGAGTTGAAGGCATCTTGGCTGCTGTCCAACAGTGGTTGCCTGTAGGCCCTATACCGGCGTCATTCGACCATCACCATGATTCTATTATCGCTGCTTGTGCTACTTGGAGTGGTTGTGTTCATTGTGCGGCTGAACAAGATTATGACGCGGACTCCAGAACTGTCGTCGGGTATATCTATTTACAAGGCAGAGGCATTGACCCGAGAATACGTTCGCAGAGTTGACGCAAAGATTAAAGCTGAAGGGATCGACTTTCGCAAGAATCACCCGCCAAGGCTGAACAGAAGATATATCGTTGTTGGTGGTTCCGGTTGGCCACCCTGTCTCTGGGATCTTTTGGGTCGTTTGAAATTTGTCTGTTGACGCCCATTGACTGACTTGCTAAACCCCAGGTCTTGTTGGAGCTCAAATTATCCTTGACCTCTTGGACGGCGGGACACCACCATCAGCAATTCGACTGGTGGACATTCGGCCGCCCTCCCGTGACGAGTTCAGCATCTCTGGGCGAGCATCCCGGGTATTGTTTGCCCAAGCGGACATTACATCCGACGTATCGACGGCGGCGGCCTTTGAGACACCATGGCCATCATCAGTCGCCCGCCTGCCACTAACGGTCTTCCACACGGCAGCCGTGATCCGGCCCTATGAGCGACATACGCTGTTCTACACGCGCTGTTCGCGGGTCAACGTGGTCGGGACGGCAAACTCCATCTCTGCTGCGCAGAAAGCCGGTGCCGACATCTTCATCTTCACCTCAAGCTCCCACGTGGCCGCCCGCGCGGTGCACTGGTTCTCGCTCCCGTGGCGCCGTCACCCACGCAACTTGATCCAGTACCTCTCCGACAGGGACTTTTTCAAGCCGCCCAAGTCGCCGTCTGAGTTCCCGAGCAACTATGCGCGAAGCAAGGCCGAGGCCGAGCGCGTGGTGTGTGCTGCAAACACTCCCGGCTTCCGGACGGGGTGTATTCGTCCCGGCAATGGCGTGTACGGCCACAGGGACGACCACATTATCGGGCGGATGCTGCGGCGCGGTCGGGTGCCTACTTTTTCGGCGCCCTGGGTCCAGAGCTGGGTCGGCGCGAGGAACGTCTCGCTCGCGCATCTGCTTCTCCAGGAGGCGCTGGTGGGTGACGCCGGCGCGGCCGTGTCCGGGAGGCCGTTTACGGTGACGGACGAGGGCCCGGCGATGCGCTTTGATGACCTCTATCTCTTGCTGGATGAGCTGAGCGTTACGGGGCTCCAGGTAGACTACCCCCCGCCGGCGGTGTTGCTGCTGGTGGCGTTTGCGATCGAGGCCTACTGCGTGCTTTTGAAGAAGATGCCGGCTTTGGGAAGGCTAGGGCTGAGAGAGCCGGCGGAGCCCATGTGTCTGTTCCAACCAGGCATTGTGGACTCGGCGGTTACACAGATTGCTGATGATGGGGATGCGAGGAGGCCGGTTGGCGAGGGAGGGTTGGGCTATGAGGGGGTTTGTAGCACGGTTGAAGGGCTTTGTGTCTTGGTTGGCGAGTGGAATACCTGGATTGAGAAACAGAAGAAGCGGGACTAGTGATGATGTTGAATCTATCGAGGATGGAATTCATGCACGATATGTTGTCGCTACTTATTCTGTTGGTGGGACATTGCTAGGACTCGGGGGCTTGAGGTCTTACGATGAGCGCCCATTCTTTATTGGCCCCAGGTCAAAGATATGACCATCATCTCCGGCTTACATGTGGAATGGAACCATTGTATAAATCAAGAAGAAAAGTAATGTAGTACCATGTACGTAGTGAGCACAAGACAGCCTGCCGTTGGTTTCACACGGTTGGTAGCTTGGCAGATTTTACTCTCCATGTCAATACATCAGAGGAGGCGAAAGGGCCGCTGCAAACTTTGACAGTAGAAATCATAATTGTAGGGGAAATACCGTCATGTGAAGGCCTCGGCGGGAAAATCTGTGATGTATTACACGGTGTTTGTATGCAATCAGCTGAATGTGCCGGCTGCTGACATCACTGAATTTGATAGCACATCTGGAAGTCTGGATGCTAGCAAGACAAGTCTCCTTTGCTGATCGATATTCCACAAAATGTTTCACATATACTTGGGTCGCTTTGACGGTACTAGCAGCTTGCGAAACTGGCCTTCCGGACCTTTCTCAGGCCGAGTTGCTCCGTAGGAAACGAAACACATGCATCGAGTACTCGGTACTACCCCGCAAATTGAATCAAGACTGGGCAGCGGACATGAGAGTCGCACATGTGTAACGCATCTTCCTGCACGAATCGGCCGATAAATAAATGGTCCTAGGGATGCAGCTGTTCCTTGGCGCGTCACGGTCCCCGAAAACGTTGGCAGCAGTTAGATTTATTGCGACTTCCAATGGATATTGAGAAGAGACTCAAAAGGCAATGCCGAGAAGATTTCAGAAGGTATAGATAGCCTACGCTTCCCTTTAACCATGTACTGCCAACATGGGGCAAATTTTCGACCCTATTCGAAGCGTTTAGGTCTATATCCAAAATAGGGAGCAGAAAATGTCCCAATTCGGGGCTTGTTGGATCATGTTCAAGTAGTAGATCATGGCGAATTCCCCCCGCATTGGCCGCCCCCCATGTTCGTTTTCGTGTTCGCATACTTGCCGACAAAAGGAATAGAGCGGGTAACTCCTTGGAAAAAGAGCGAACTTCGAGGTCGTTGCAAGTCCCGTGGCGAACATAACCCACAGGTCTTTAGGTTGACCGACGACAACACACCACGCACGACTCCTGTGGTCTTGCACAGCTTCTCTTTGGGGCCCTTGGTTACTGGTAGTACCACTAATGAATCGTGGTCGTAAAGACAGCTTGTCGACTAGCACGGGGGTTTCCATCGGTGTCTCCTTTGGGCCGTTCGGAGTCGAGTCAAATTCTTAAACGGGTTGAATGTCTGCGTATGCTGGTGCTACTATTGTGCAAACGCCTCAAGGGGCTTCCCACACCTGTTAATGAGTAGCTCCTTGCGCAGGTCCTGGACATTTCCGACATATGCTGACTGGCTGGGGGGATTCTGTGCTGGAGGGTGGCGTCCGTCTTTGATTGCTTACCGACGTCGTGCGGGAGAACGCCTAGGTGCCATGTTGCGTGGCACGCTACGGAGTACAAGATCAAGTATGGTCGTTCCGCATTCCGGACCAAGACGAGCGGCAGGAGCCGTTGGCGAAAGATGCGTCCCGCAGCGTTCGAGTGAGAGGAGCGAGACGGCTCTGCTGTGCTCATGGTGTCATGGGCTTCATGATGCAGCTGTGGTCCCGATGCGCCACGGCCATGGGTGTAGGCCACGACATGAGTGTGTGCTTTTGCTGGCTCTTGGACTAGATGACACGTAACGCAGGCTTTTTGGTAAGTGACGGAAGATGCCTGAAAGTGTAGCAACGGGTACTCCGTCGATGGTTCCGAGGTCTCCAGTACTCGTCATGAGCAGAGTCTGGTGTTGGTGACATGGAGTTCCATGAGTTCTTGGCGCGCAACCCAATTCGGATAGCAGCTTGCACTGCTCCTTCCCACGGCGACGAGGTGCCTCGGGCCCGCCGTCAACGCCCCAATGACGCCGCCCTGGAGCTGGCGCGTGGACTGGCAGCTATTACGGAGTACGGAGTATGGAGTACGGAGTAGTCCCTGTCAGAATGTCGCAGACCGTCGACACTTTAATAAACATCCCTGGTCCCCATAGATTCTAGTCCTCACCCTGCATATTTTCCGTACATGTAACCTTGATCCCATCTCACATCCTCCGCGTCCCTCCATCTCCCTAGAGGTCTCCCTTGCGCTCCCTTTTAATCGCCATGCGCCTCTTGTCTTCTCGCTGACACCCAGAACTCGACTGTTCAAAGACACGGCGGTAGAGCATAAAGATGGGCCTAGGAATTCTCGAAGCTCGTGGCCACGAAAGGGTCCCAGGTATGCCCACTCGCCTCCGTCGCACGCCAAGTTGCACAAGATGACGGCAACCACTTACTGAATCCGATTTACTCAGGTACCACAAGATACTTTGACGACCCAAACCGCCCACAAGAGGCTTCCGACAATGAACAACACTTGAAATCCGATCCCATTTCCCACATCATCCTCGTATGTCCCGCCTCCCACGTCCTGCCAACGATGAACGTTAAACTTGCCTCCAAATTGCAATCCGAGAGTCTCTGACGGAAGCTGATGCCATTTTGCAACTCGCATACATAGGTTCCTCAACCTTCTGATGACCCCAACGATCCCCTCAATTGGCCAATATGGAAGCGTGATCTAATCACCTTCACCCTGTGCTTTGCTGCCATCTTGGCCACCGCCCTCGGCGCCATTCTAGCTTCCAACACACTTGTTATTTCCGCCTACTTCAGCGCCACTCTGTCGGATACCGCCGCGTTAACGGGCTACTATCTGCTCGGCGCTGGTTGTGCTGCAATCTTCTTCGTTCCCTCTGGTCGCATTTGGGGCAAACGCCATCTGTTCCTGATTGGCATCATCTTTGTCATCTTTTCCAGCGCCTGGGGTGGTGCTACCGGCAACTTCCCTCCAAAGGCTAGAGATGCCCCGTTTGGTCAGTCGCGAGATCAAAAATCTCATTACAACAGCCTCGCCGCGGCCCGCGCCTTCCAGGGCATCGGTGCCGCTCCATTCGAAAGTTTGCTCAATGCCGCTGTCGGTGATTTGTACTGCGTCCACCAGCGCGGTGTCCGCATGGCCTTCACCAATTTGGCCGTCTTTGGAGGTGCCTTCTTTACCCCTGTTGTCGTGGGCAAAATCACACACACGATTGGTTGGCAGTGGACCTTCTATCTGTTAGCCATCTTCTCGGCCGTCACATTCCCTGCGGTGTTCCTCTTCTGTCCCGAGACTGCCTACAGACGCGAGGCGAAACTCAACATCGATAGCGTGGTCGAAGAGGAGAAACTGAACCCTTCCACGAGTTCTCCTAGCTCTACGGCTCCCCAACCTGTCGAACCTCCTCGCCCCCATGGTTTTATCTTCTTCCCGAAGTCGTCGGCGATGCAGCCAATCGGCCACGCGAATACACCAGTGAAGACCTTTGTCGAGTCAATGTCGTTGTTCGACGGCAGAAAGACTCATGAACGCTATTGGGTCCTATTTCTACGGCCATTCCCCCTTATCTTAAACCCTGCCTTTGTTTGGGGCTGCCTCATCCAGGGTGCTATGATTGGATGGACCATCTTCATTGGTGTTATTATTGCTGTCGTCTTTATTGGACCACCATTCTTTTGGGGCGAGGAAAAGGCCGGGTATACTTACACCGCGCCTTTTCTGGGAGCCTTGTTGGGTTTTATTATTTCTGGTCTTTTGGCCGATACAACCGCAAAGGCGCTCACAAAGCGTAACAATGGCATCTACGAGCCCGAGTTTCGACTTATCCTTGTTATTCCTATGCTCATTGCAGCAGGAATTGGGTTATACGGATTCGGCATTACATCCAACGACCTGCTGTCGGGCAAGTACCCGTACACTGTTCCGTTGGTTTTCTTTGCCTTTGAAGTCGGCGGCATGGTTATTGGCAGTGTTGCTAGTTCACTGTACATTGTGGACGCGTACCGTAAGTCCTGCTAACATGGATTCACCCTACCTTTTAAACTGACACCCATTTACAGGTGATTTAACCATTGAAGGGTTTACCTTGATGATTATCTTCAAGAACATTTTCAGTTTCGTTCTTACCTTTTATGCGTACGACTGGGTTATTGGCGGTGGATTCCGGACCGTGTTTCTCATTGTAGCATCTATCCAAATGGGGATTTGTTTGCTCAGCCTACCGCTGTGTAAGTTTTCTCGTCTCCCCCCCCCCCCCCCCCCCACATGAAGGCAGTCATTCTAACTAAAACAGACATATTCGGGAAGCGTATCAGAGCATTCTATACCCGCAACGACCTTTTAGCCTTGACTCGTCTTCGATAATCGTAATACCTCCTTACCGGAGTGTCGTTTCTTTGATGCATTTTGGGGGGGGGACAAGTCATTGTCGGATTACTGCTGGGGAGTTGGGTGCAGCTAATATCGATGGTTTAATGCATTTACAGCCAGGATATCATGGCGTGAACTCTAGGCTTGAAGGGGTTCATCTTCAGGTTGTAGTGAAAAGTAATATGAACAGCTTGCAGCCTAGTTGAAATCTACCTAAACGTGGGCCGACTGTGTTGTATAGGAATTTACATTCAAGACTTCAAATCAACATGGGAGAAATGATGTGTAACTCTCACTGTTCGCATGATTTTGTCTCATTATCCAATCAAGTGGTATCTGACTATGTACAAACTCTCCAGGCACTGCATTGCCCTAGTTGTGTGACCTTCCTTCCTATACCCATGAATATGCATTTTCGTTGTTGGCCGTAAGACATTTACACGATGTACAGTTACATTATGTACATGATGATCTTTTTTTTTTCAGGGAAATTTTTAGACACTTTCAGGTATCCCGCTCCATTCTAAACTTGTGGAGCCACAAAATATAAAAACGAGTGGTGACATCGACAAGACACTACTGACCCTTGATGCCAGCGGTCTCGGGGCCATTGTTGGCT